CAGAGAGAGAGGAGACAAAAGCTGAAAACGGGGGAGGGGGGGTGAATATGATCAAACACGTTGTTTGACATTCTCAAAGAATTAATAAAATGTATTGTTGTCTGTTTCATGCCTTTTTTTGGCTTTCAATAACTGTGTCCTTCCCCCACCAGCTTACTGAAGTCTAATTAACTAATTGAACACATTTTCAACAGAAAATAAACAAAAGCTTGTTTACCAGAAAAATCCAAGGGCAAGTTCACTAAAATCAGCCACGCTGCGGCTGTAAATGATCATACCCAGGCTCCAGCTACAAGCCAGGCCCACCCTTCGGGTCATGTTTTATCCTGTGCCTCCAAATGTCTCTTCTTGGTTTGCTGTAGGGGGATGTTTGGGAGATTTATATAGCTAAATTGTCATAAATAGAAAAACATTTACAATAATAAGTGCTGCAAAGAAAAACTGTAGAGGGAACGGGTTCTAGTGTTCATATGAAGTGCAGGCATCCCCAAAAGTGTGCCACACACCACTCAGTCCCCAAAGCAGTTTCTTTCAGGCAGAGTAGGTGAGGCGAGGCTATGCGCGGTGACATCCAGGGACCCCAAGCCCCAAGCATGGCCTGAGGAAGTGGCTCCGCGATTGCTTAAGCTTAAGCACAGTGGCCTGCTGCTCTCGCAGCCCCGCAGGTTTGATTCGAGCACCCACATGAAAGGGGTCACAAACACCTGGCCATTCCAGTGCCCGGCGCTCCAAAAACCCTCTTCTGGCCTCCAGGACATTTGCACTCACACAAAGACACACAAATAAAATAAAATTAAATAAATCCTAACTATGAGTAGCCTGGTCTTACTTTCTTTAAAAGTAAGAAAGAGCAAGAAAGAGTAAGAAGAAAGAGAAAGGGGCGGGAGACAGAGGAACACGGGACGGCCAGCGTTGACAGTTACTGAGTGAGCTGCCTCTGTCTACACACTTTACTTTTGTTCTGAAATTTTCCAGAGTAAGGAAATGTTCATGAAAGGGTTAACCTGCGCCATCGGTCCTGGGGCTCACAGTCCTCATGCATCCACTGCCTTCCTGAGACGAACACAGGGACCACACACCAGGGCTTGTCCTGAGGTGTTGCTCAAGAACCACAGGGACTCCAGACTGGTCAGCATGTTAAACAACCGTATTCTTCAGAGGGAATTCGATAAAAGAGCTGGAGAAGAAACCTTAGACTGGGCCAGCGCTCTTCAGCAGACACGACAAATCTGAGGAAGCCCAGCAGGTCAGAGTGAGTTTCCCAGAGACTGGACCTCAAGAGTTCTGAACCTGAGGCCCACCCATGGCACACCTGGAAATGCCCACAGGCAGCCAAGGAGGACAGGGATCATGTTCATCGTGGTAACCCTCAAGCGGAAACTGAACGATGCAGCTGCCAGACACTGAGCAGAAATTTCTAAACACTGTACCATGTAACCAGTACCTGGGCCTGCTAACCCCCCAGTGCCAGGGACTTCCAGGTTAAAGACAAACTGCCAAGCATACCGCCTTTTCCTCAGTGCTTGACTGCCCTCTAGCGGCTGCTGAAATTGACACAGTCAACTACTTGCAACAATTTTTTTTTTTTTTTAAACTTTTCACCTGCTTTTATTCTTTCATAGAGTCAGTAACAACTTCATATCAAAACACAAATACCAAGGAAAAACAAAACAAAGGGCCAGAATTCCTCAGGAAATGACATATATACAATATTTGACAAATTATTTTTGAAATCCAGTCAACACATATATGAAAGTATGATGCATTTTGGTCAAATGAAGGTTTGGGCTGAAAATCAATTTATTCAATATAACTTGTTAAGAGAATAAAGTTATAATATGATAATTTCAATAATGCATTTCATCAAAATTTTGCTATTATAAGTATCTTATTAGGGGGATTTTTTTATTTTGTTTTGCTTTGCCATTTTTATTTTGTTTGTTATTTTTGAGACAGGATTTCAGGTAATTGGCTGACTTCAAAGAACCTATTTTATGAAGGTGACCTGCAACAAAAGTATTTTAAAGTGCACAGAATTAAAAAAAATTAAATGTACATACAGCAAGGTGTAATGGCTGTTAATGGTGTTAATCCTAGAACTTGGGAAGCAGAGGCAGGTGGATCTCTGTGAGTTCAAGGCCAACCTGGTCCACAGAGTAATTTCCAAGTCAGCCACACACCACACACACAAATATGGTACCAGAAAGGTACTGTGTAAACTCCCCATTATTCAACAAAATTTAGTTCACTATATATGGTGATAATGTGTTTACAGCATAACAAATAAAGCCTGCCTGAAGATCAGAGTGTAAAGCCAGCCAGCTAGCCACACTAGCCAGTCCAGTCAGACAGTCGGTGAGAGACCCTGTCTGCAAAGACAGGGTCCTGGAGAGCATGATGGTGGAAGACACCTGACATCAACCTCTGGCCTTCACAGGCATACATGCACCCACACATACACAAGCAAATTCACACACTACACACAAAAGTAAAACAAAGTCATGGGGGAAAGCTGCAAAACAGGAAGTGAGGAAAAACCAAGAATGGTGCTTCCCAATGCCCCTGCATCTCAACCTAATAAAACACGAGCAAGCACCAGGAAGGGAAACCGCAGGGGAAGGAACCAGAACCTTGGGGAGATGACCCAAGACAGCCAGCCACAGTGTGACCCTGGAACTAATGTCCAGTGCTCTCCGTGAGCAACGACAAGAGTAAGCACGGGGCGGACTAGCCACAGGTACGGAGGCAGGAGAGAGGCGAGCCCATCACCTCTGACTGAGAATGTCCTCGGCACTGACTCCAGGGAATTCCTTCAGTGGGGACCATCTGTCAGTCAGTGTGTAGTGAAATATTATTTATGATTTATTAAAGCTTGCCTGAAGATTCAGAAAGCAAAGTCAGCCACGAACCTTAGAAGCCAGGCACACACCTTTAATCCCAGTAGCCAGAAGCTAGGCGGTGGTAGCACACACCTTTAATCCTAGGACTCAGGATTAAGAGATAGACGGATCTCAGTGAATCCAAGGCCACCCAGATCTACACAAGAGTGAATCAGTCTAAAGAGAATTATTGCCCACACTTGTAATCCCAACATGAGGGAAGTATATAAGACAGAAGCAAGGTCTCAGAGAGGCATTGGTTCTCCAGCCACACTGAGGAGAGGTTACAGTTTGAGACTGGGTGAAGAGCTCAAGCATGAATCAGCCCTTTCAGCCTGAGCTTGAGGTGAGAGCTAGTGGCCGGCTGCTTTGCTTCCCTGATCTTCAGCTTGAAGCTTGAACCCCAATATCAGTCTCTGGGTCTTTTATTAATTTGTGTTACACCCTAGCATGAGACTCCAAGAGGACAGAGGAGGTTTCTCAGCTCTGGGCTCGTCTCTGGCCTAGCTTTCCCCTGCAGACACCTCAGAGGGAACTGGGAATGTGAGAGACCTGGTTGTGGCATCTGTCACCTCATTGACAGCCTGGGTTGATCAGGTTGACCTGGCTGGAGAGGTGGGTGTCCCCTTCCTCCCTCGTGGCTCTGTGTGTGTGTCCCCTGAAGCCAGGTGCTCTACCAAAGAGAAGGGGCCACAGAAGAGGGCCGGGATCTGGGTGAGAATGAAGAGCTGAGCTCCCTGAAGGAACCCAAAAGCACAAGACCTGCAGGGGAGCCAGCCCTGTAGAAAGGGCAGCCACAGCCCCCGGGGACTTTTCTGGATACCCAGGTGGGTCATTTCATGGTGTGTCCCATTCACGTTTGTGACGAGCATCAGCCACCAGCCTCACTCCAGCCCAGAGCTGCAGTCTGCTGGGGCCCATGGGGTGAGCATGCCACACGCTGTCCGTTCTGCCAGGTGTGGGGTTGGTACAGGTAAACCACAGATACACATCCCCCACGTGCCATGCGGGACACAGGGTGACAGACACTGCACAGCAGAGAAAGAGGTCTGCGGCTCTGGGGGACACAGCAGGTTTTCTGGAATGGCTGTGCCCATTTACATTCCCACCAGCAGCCTGGGAAAGTCGCTGCCCCCCAGCGCTTGCCAGCATTTACGACTGTGTGGAGCTCTGAGTTTTGACAGGGCCTGGCTTTCATTTGCAGGTCTATGAGATGATGCAGCGTTCGTTATGAATACTAAACAGCATCATACTGACAACTTCTTCTGCTTTCAAATGTTACCATGTTGATTAGCACATCTGTCAGCAGCCATCAGAGTAACCAGGAGGCCTGCAAGAGCCTGCGTGTCTGGGTAGGTGAGTGAGTTAACGCTGGAGTTAACGCTGACACAAGCCTCTGGGCAGACCTGAAAGGGCTTTCTCAGCTTACTTGTAGGATGGCACACCCTAAGTGCAACACCTTCCCCAGGCAACCCCGACATGAGGAGGTCCTCAGAAAAGCACCCCCTTTTATTTTTTGCCTTTTGACTGACTGCCTCCACATCTTGCTGGTTCATCTACCCTGTTGCTGCTGTCACCACCCTGGGCTGACATCAGACTCTAGTTTCTTCAGCCTTCCAGAGAGGACTAAAGATTAGTGTCTCTCAGGGAATGTCCCAGGCCTTCGCCGCCAGATGAGGACTGCTGAGGCCTCCAGCCCCGTGCATAAGAAATTGCTAGGCTCTTAGCTTCTCCAGAGTGCAGCCAGCCACTCTGAGGTAGCCGCCCGATACAGAGTGTGCACAGCCACTCTGAGCCTGCCCAGCCCATTACACACAAGTCAGCCTAACACCCTCCTTGCAGCACTTACCCATCACCCAGAAGAAAGTGACTTAAATGAGAGCTATGATCTAAGCCAGCCTGGCACCTCTGCCGCCTCCAACGAGAGGACAAATTCTACATGCGCCTGAACTGAGTTAGAGCCCAGTGCCGGGAGGGCCCCAAGGTCTTTGTCTTACAGCAACCGTACGCAGTTCCTCAAATTAAAATTAAATGGAGTCCGATGACAGCTGCGCTCTCTATACTACAAAACCAAAGGCAATCCTTCCCACCATACACAACACCTCAGTCATGAGACATCACCTCAATAACAGGCACGTTTTCCTGAAGTTCTGCCGTGTGTAGGGCCAGCAAGCCAATCACTCGAGCAACCTTGGACCGTCTGGAGAGAGAGAGAGCAGTCAGGCATCAAACAATCGCCATGCTAGCCACCAAGCCTGATGGCCTGAGTTCAGTCCTTGGAACCCACGTGGTAAAAAGAGAGGCTGTCCTCCACGCGTGCCTGGAGCATGCACACGCCTACTCACAGTACATACACCGTGACAGGTCAGGCCCACGGTCCAGGGAAATGCCCTATCTCAAACATAGGGAGCGTGAATCACAGTGTCCAAGTTTAGACGTTTGTGGCTGATAAGATGTGCACAAGTCTGTGAGTACTTTCCTAATTTGCTTAATCCCCCCTTTATTTTACGTGTATTTGTGTTTTGCCATGTGCATGCAGTGCCCAAGGAGGCCAGAAGGGGGCTGTGACCCCGGGAACTGGAGCTGCAGATGGTTTGACCCCGGTCCTCTGTTTGCGCCATTCTCCAGCCTCTCTTCTTCTATGTTAACAAACACTGGCTTTAACGAGGTGGCATCTGGTGTCCCACAGAAAAGGACGCTGATAAAGCACTAAGCAATGTTCCACAGTGATTTGAAAGAAGCAATGTAGCAATGTTGATTTAAAAAAAAAAAAATCACTGGGGAAGAAAGGCACGGAAGTATGTATGAAATTGAGAAAGAGTTAGCAAGTTTTAAAACCTTTTTCTCATTGAAATCTAACCTGGTGAAGAGTTAAGATCCACACTCTCACTGTTCCTTGGTTTCTTAGAAAAAGCTTCACAGGACTCACTTGAGAAAACAATTTAGACTCAGAAGTGTGGTCAGGACAGCATGTGTCTCCTCCCACAGCAGAGCCGGCCCTGAAAGGCTTCAACTCTTTCTTGCTGGTTCTTTGAGATGGGGTCTTATTACAGGGCTCCCAGGATGGCCTTGAACTCCTGATTCTCCTGCCTCAGCTTCCTGAGGAGTGCAGGTGAGTGCCGCCATGCCTGGCCACTTCTGTGTGTCTTGTACATCAAATACCAAAAACTTTAAACCACAATCAAGTAAGTCCCATAGATGGAAACATACCAGAAATCCCTCTCCTTGATGAAGGGTTGACTAGACACAGACCCCTCAGCAGTCTACAGAGATGAAAGAGATTCGTTTATCTGTGTGGTAGCACCGCTGGGAAAAGCAGCCGTCGGGGAAAACAGGAGACATCCCCACAGCAAGTGATCTGTACTGGGGAGGACTCAGGGGCAGATGTGGGGAGCCACGCCTCACTAAGTCTGTGTCCCTATATGACAAACAAACTTAGAAGACTGAGGGAAAACTGGAAGCAGCATTTGAAAGGAAGCAAGAAGGCCTAGCAGAGAGCTGCCCACTGTCCACTGACTGCTTCACCCAATCAAAACTTCCACGGCTGGACAAAGCGACACACCACCTCAAACCAGCACTCCGGAAAGCATAAAGCTAGGAGTTTGAGACCAGCCTGGGCTACATAGTAAGACGCTATACCTCAAAAAAAAAATATTACAACACTTTTTTTTTCAAATGCCTTTCAATTTAAATAGTAAAAAAGGGTTTTTAAACAGTGCCTGAAAAGAATCGAAGCACTTTTAGGTCAGAAGGGGGCGCTCCAGACCAGAAAAAACAACACCCACCAAACAGCAGCAGTTTCCACAGTTACAAAATGATCAGCTGTTACCCAGAGGCTAAGATACAAGAAAAAATTCCCTCCAAAGCCTTTTGCAAACCCCCATGGTTGACAGAGTATTTTTCACCAGCATAGAGGAGTAGCTACCGTCACACCCCTGCCAGCCACAGAGTCTCTTTGGTGACAGTGACCAGATAATCAAAACACTCCCCAACGTGGCCCAGACTCAGAACCAGCAGCTCCAACTTCTGGCCTCACATAGACGGCCAAGCACAAACCCCACAGTGAGTGTGATTTGCCCAGGGGCAGATCTGGGGTTCCAACCCCACACTTCTGTATCCTGCATAAACTCAGAAAGTGGAGACTCAGCAAACAGTTAGTTCCACCGTGTGATCAGGTCCCACCAGCAAGGACAGCAGAGCCTGCAGCATCCAGAGAGGGAGCACTCGGAAGAAGAGTCCTATTGGTTGCCATGGCACCATGGGGAAGCTCCCACTCTGGGGAAGGAAAGGCAGAGGTGACAGACGGCACAACCCGAAAGGTGGGGTCCATTTCATGATGGTCACCCAGAAAAGTGAGGGCCTATAAAGCAGGGTGCACTCGCTGCATCTGCTTGTCTGTAAGTGACCCGAGGTCGCCTCAGGTTCACTGAGGATGACTGAGGACCGCACTCATGATGAGGTGTCCGGCAACAGCTATAAAACCCCAAGAATATGTTTTAAAATACAATGCTACTTACATGTCCCAGTTTGGAGCTATTCGCAAATGCTGGATTAGCAACTGGAACTAGAGTTTAAAAAACAAAAACATCAGAATGTAAGTTTCATTCAGAAGGGCACCAAAGCAACGCCTCAGTTAACAGGGAGATGTGCACAGCTGCGGAGAGCTGCCCCATGAAGGCAATCACGGGCGGACGACAGACATGCGAAGGACAGATGACAGACATACGAACACAGCCAGTGGCCAACAAGATAAACATAAATGAAAATTGACAACAGGGCGGCTCAGCAATTAAGAGCATGTGCTCTGCAGAGAACCCAGGTTCAGTTCCCAGCACCCACACTGTGGCCTGCAAGCAAGCACCTGTAACCTCAGCTCCAGGGAATCGCACACCTTCTTCTGGCCTCCAAGAGCACCTGGTGCGTGCCTGGACACACACACACACACACACACACACACACACACACAGAAATAAAAAACAAAAGAACAAGGTGTTTGATTTGTCCTAACACTTACTAGTCCCTAATATTTGGCTCCCCACACCCAACAGACACCCACAAGCAACTGTCATATTGACTTAGGACCAAATAAACTGGAACTTCTTCAGGCTGACTTTGGGGACCAATAAAGAGCATCACCCGACCACTGTCGTTCCTTCCAGAGGGTGGCTTGAGGAACTCCACAACCCCCAGGGGTTACCAACGAGGCCCAGCAAGGATTAATTCTCCCAGGAGAACAGAAAGTGAAGACTTTAAGGCTTAATATCCTTTTATACATCAGAGACCCCGTTGTCTATCCAGGTGACCCAGAACAGGAGCCCAGGCCACCTGACAACATGTAACAAAAATGGAAAGCTGAACATTACAAAGGCCACAGCTGGAAATCACCATCTACACACTGCTTCAAGGAAGGGGTTGAGGGTAATTTTCATGAACCTACAGTATCAATAAATCACCTGTTTTCTTTGTAATCACATCAAATTAGAATTGTAACCAACTGGGCCTGGTGACATGGACCTATAATCCCAGCAACTTGCTAAGTTGAGGCAGCAGGATCATAAGCTCAGGACCCAACTAGGCTACAGAACGAATTCAAGGCAAACATGGGAAATTGAGAGTGTAGCTCCAAAGAAAAACTAGGGCCAGATGTGGTTCAGTGGGAGAGCCCTTGCTTAGCCTGTGTCAGCCCCCGGGGTTCAATCCCCAGTCCCGCCACATAAATAGTCTGTGGTTTATTGTTTTTACTGTCTGCTTCAGTGCCAAGGGCAGAACCCCAGTGAGTGGTCAGGCTAAGGAACCACTCTGCTGCTGAGCAGCTGAGCTGAAGCCCAGGCCCCAAGCTCCTTGAAACACAAAGGCCAAGAGCAGGAGGCAGGTGGTGGGTCCCTGGGAGGCGAGTCACCCTGCAGTACCTACCAGCGGGGAATGGAGCAGCCTGGTGGCCACCTCCCTGTGAGTGGCCACCACACACAGATAGCACAGGAGGTTCAGCTTGGCTCGCAAGGTCCCTGCGCTCTTCTCGATGGAGTCTATCTGGGAGCACACCTGCTGCAGGAAGTCATTCCAGTCTTGGTCCTTCAGAACCTGCAGCTTGTCCACTGCAGAAGGAAGGAAGGAGAGGTAGTGGCGTGCGTGACGTGGGAAGGGCTGAGCAGGCATTGTGTGAGAAGCAGAACCGGGAACTTGAGAGCTGGGATGAGGCAGAGCAACTACTGCATGACAGCACCAAACCCCCCCCCCCATTCTGAGGAGACTCCACTTGATGTCCTTCTCTACCCAGAGAGGCTTAACCGTGTCACTGAACTGCCAAAATAACAATAGTAATGATAATAATAATAATAATATCTCCTGGCCCTCCCCCAGAGACAAGGTTTCTCTGTGGCTTTGGAGGCTGTCCTGCAACTAGCTCTTTTAGACCAGGCTGGTCTCGAATTCACAGAGATCCACCTGCCTCTGCCTCCTGAGTGCTAGGATTAAAGGCATGCGCCACCACCGCCTGGCTCAACGTCTTTAGATGTCAGGGAGCCATGGAGATGGCTGGCCTTTCAAGCATGAGGACCAGACTCCACATAAAAAAAAAAACCCAAAAAAAAAAAAAAAAAAAAAAAAAAAAGCTGCACTTGTAATCCTGGCACTCAGGTGGTGAAGACAGGAGGATCCCTGGGGCTAACTGGCCAGTCAGTCTAGCCTGATTGGTGAGTTCCAGACCAATGAGTGACCTTGTCTCAAAAGAGGTGGGCAGCATATGTCTAACATATTCTCAGGCACACGCACCCTCACTTACCTGTGTGCAACCAGCATATGTCTAACATATTCTCAGGCACACGCACCCTCACTTACCTGTGTGCAACCACACACACACAAACACAAACACACAAACACAAACACACACACACACACATACACACACACACACACACACACACACACACACACATACCCACACACACACACATGTACACACACGCACACAGAGGTATGTCCACACACATCCACACACATTTTAGAAGTCTAAAAAAATTATTGTTAACCATACCCAGCTCAGTAGTGTGGCTGGCAAAATCTGGACTCCAGCCTCTAGCTTCTCACACAAACCAAAGACAAAACACAGGAAGAGCATCTAAATGCACCAATTTTGGCTGATCTCTACCTACAGATGGATTCATTTACAAAAATTACAAATGTGGGGCTGGAGAGATGGCTCAGAGATTAAGAACACTGGTTGCTCTTCCAGAGGTCCTGAGTTCAATTCCCAGAGGCTCACAACCAACTGTAATGAGATCTGGTGCCCTCTTCTGGCATGCACTGTATACATGATAAATAATAAATAAATCTTTTTTAAAAATTACAAATGTTCTCCAGCTCTCAGGCAAGGACTGAGTGCTTCCCTGGTTTTTATAAGTAAAGGTCCTTGATGCTGGCCACACTATGATTCTGCTTCCCTTTGGTCCCTCCTTGGGGCTTGCTCTTGGTTTGCGAGCTTGACCTGTACAAACTTTTAAGTTGGTTTCTTTAAGTCTTCTATTCCAGCACCCCAGGAGCTTCCCCCACCCACAAGGGCAAAGAGGAAAATCAACAGCTGGTAAAGATACATTTGCAATTGACTTCTGTGCAGGATGCAGCCCAAGATCACTGACAAGAAAACAGGTAATGAGTTATTCTTCACACAAACATTCCATTGGCAAGTAAATAAAGTTCATATTTACATCTGCTTACAAAGCATGTGTGATGAGCCAGGTGATCTTACCAGAATATGCTGGTAGGTGCAAGATTTTTGGATCAAACTTGATTGTAGGCTGTTTGATTATCTGCAGCAGGAAAAAACACTGAGAAACTTTTCAGCTCAACAGTTGCGTCTCTGAATCCACAGATCAACAAGGCCACAAAAGAACCATATGAAACTTAGCTGTCATCAAAAGGATCCAGGGCATGTGTGGAGCAAACCCAGTGGCCCCAGCCCCAGGAGATACAGGCAGGAGGGTGAGTGAGACCCTATCTCAAAGCCCCAGCAGGGAAAAAGAATGCAACAATGCCATGTGAGATTAAAAGATGTAAATACAGATTGCTTCTTTACATTTCAACCAATGTCTTCAGTATGACAGAAACCTGTAGAGAGCTCTGCCTGTAGGCTTCCTAGCTCAACTGGCTGCTAATCAGCCTCTCATTAGAAATCAAGGCATCAGGCTGGAGAGATGGCTCAGCAGTTAAGAGCAGTGCCTGACCTTCCAGAGGTCATGAGTTCAATTCCCAGCAACTACATGGTGGCTCACAACCATCTCTAATGGGACTTGCTGCCCTCTTCTGGCGTAAAGGTATGCATGAGATAGAGCACTCATGCATAAAATCAATAAATATTAAAAAGAAATCAAGGCATCTGAAAAGTATCTACTGGGTCCTGACCTAAGGAGGTACAAAGTTGTAAAACTCATGACCCTACTACCAGAAACTCTAAATGAGAAAACAAGGCAAATTATCTGTTAAACAATAAAATCCTTAACATTTCACAATTCAAAACGGGTAGGACAAAACTGTAGACAGATACTTCATAGGAAGACACTTCTTAAAAACAATAAAGAAGCAAGTGGGTAGGCTGATGTGACCTGGACAGGGTCAGAGGAAGGGGTGGGAATCAGACAGAGGTGGGAGAGGGCTTGAGAAGGGAAGAGCCCGTCCAGAAGATACTAACACATAAATAGTTTACCACACACTTCATTTGAGAAATGGTGTGGTGAAGAAACCAGCGGCTGACTATGGAAGTTTGGATGAGAGGGCCTACGCTTGAGAGCTGATCAAGTCTAACTTGTGCAGAACTCTGTGTTGCTGTCTTAAACCCTCACAGACAGACAGCGTTCTTGACAAAAATGATAAAAAATGACAGCCTTTCTCTAATGTGATGCCATAATTCATGTTATTCCAACCACGAGAAATCCTCAGATAAATTTTAGCTAAAAACACTCCACAAAATACCTGACTATCAGTCAGCAAAGTGCTACGGTCATGAAAAACCTGAGCGTCACCAGCCGTGACAGACAGGCACAGACCACAGGAGACGGAGGAGGCTCAAGTGTGATGCAGGCCTAGAGCAGGCAATGGACAACAGAGGCACCATGTCTGGAATCTGGGGCCGCTAACTTGGCCCGACAACCCGAGGGCCTCCGGTGACTCAGGTTGGCAGAGTAACGGCAAGCAAGACCTCCTAGAACCCTGAACCCGCTCCCTGAGTCTAAAACACATTTTTAAAATATAGCTTAAAGTGTTTTAGGTTAAAATAGTTTAAGGCCAGGCAGTGGTGGCACACGCCTTTAATCCCAGCACTCAGGAGGCAGAGACAGGCGGATCGCTGAGTTCTCAGCCAGCCTGATCTACACAATGAGTTCCAGAACAGCCAGGGCTACACAGAGAAACCCTGTCTCAAAAAAAAAAAAGAAAAGAAAAGAAAAAAGTAATGTAAAAAACAAATTTCTACTTGCTGACATTTCCCAGAAACCTTAAGTAAGGAAATAAAGGAAGAGACTCTCAGCCGTGGAATCCCAGGCTGCTCTAGAAAGCCCACTGGGAGAGCACGCCATTACCCATCAGGCCTAGCAGATCCAGCCTCTCTGTCAGAGTCTGACTCATGGAAAGACTCCATTCTGGGAGATGGTCATGTAAGGAAAGGCTGGCTGTCTCGGAAATCAACACGTTCCCACAGGAGAGCAGGGAAACCACCACAGATTAATGTGGAAAGACATTTGCGAGCAATAAAGCTGCAGGGTTAAGACAGAGTGGGAAGCAGAGACTGAGTGTGTGGCTGAGGTCAAAGCAGACAGACAGACAGACGAAGCTATACAGTGAGTCCTTGTGACCCTCGCAACACACTGTTGTTACAGAAGCAGAGAGCACACTGGGAGCTGAAACCCCAGGGCCATGCTGTCTCCCCATCAGTCTGAACGCCACGCAAGAGACTGGGTCTGTGGGGCCTGCCCGCTCTTCCCCAGCCAGTGAGCTCTGCTCAGCCACACCCTAGCGACCTGAGCATCAAGTGGGACTCACTTCATAAACACAGACGGAGACTGAGAGCTGAGGTCTGGGGTCTGGAGGTCAGTGGCCCTGCTCAGCAGTGAGCAGGGAGAAAATCCCCACTGCAGTGGGTGCAAGCGAAGGGAGAGCAGGGCACAGAGGGGACACGTGGCACACAGGACAAGCAGACAAGTGACAGACAGCAGAGCCTGCAGACGGGCCGTGTGTCACACGGGAGAAAGACAGTAAGGCATTGAATGTTCTGACCTCCCCGCCCCACCCTGCCCTCAAGTTCTCTGTGCACCTTGGGGTTGTCGATAATTGGGGTGATCACAAGATCCGAGTCTGTGTAGATCAGCACTCTCATCTGGGATTCCAGGGTCCCCCGGCTCAGACGTCCACATGTCATCTGGAACAAGGGCAAAAGTCACACTTTGCATTTGTAATGGAGAGTGACAGGACACCTGTGTCGATGAACTCCAAGTGCCATGGAGACTCCATCAGCCTGGCTGATCCTCACACAAATCCTCAACAGTGTTGTTCCCATTTTACCCATGAAAAAGTCTCAGAAAGCAACTGGCCAGTCACACCAACAGTTGACACCGCTGGCTCAGTCACACCAGCAGATCTCACCACTGACTGACAGCTCAGTCACACCAGCAGCTCTCACCGCTGACTGACTGCTCAGTCACACCAGCAGATCTCACCGCTGACTGCTCAGTCACACCAGCAGTTCTCACCACTGACTGCTCAGTCACACCAACAGCACCGCTGACTGACTGCTCAGTCACACCAGCAGATCTCACCGCTGACTGCTCAGTCACACCAGCAGTTCTCACCACTGACTGCTCAGTCACACCAACAGTTCTCACCGCTGACTGCTCAGTCACACCAGCAGATCTCACCGCTGACTGACAGCTCAGTCACACCAGCAGATCTCACCGCTGACTGCTCAGTCACACCAGCAGTTCTCACCACTGACTGCTCAGTCACACCAACAGTTCTCACCGCTGACTGCTCAGTCACACCAGCAGTTCTCACCACTGACTGCTCAGTCACACCAACAGTTCTCACCGCTGACTGCTCAGTCACACCAGCAGTTCTCACCACTGACTGCTCAGTCACACCAACAGTTCTCACCGCTGACTGCTCAGTCACACCAGCAGTTCTCACCACTGACTGCTCAGTCACACCAACAGCTCTCACCACTGGGCTCGTCAGGACTGCACCACAGACTTTCCACATTGTGAAATAAAGGCAACTTCACACTGGCTAAGGTTTGGTTTAGTTTAGTTTAATTTTGGTTTGGTTTGGTTTTGGTTTTCCGAGACAGGGTTTCTCTGTGTCTTTGGAGGCTGTCCTGGAACTAGCTCTTGTAGACCAGGCTGGTCTCAAACTCACAGAGATCCGACTGCCTCTGCCTCCCGAGTGCTGGGATTAAAGGTGTGCGCCACCAATGCCAGGCTAGTTTTGTTTCTTATGATGGGTCCTGCCCATCCTTCATCCACAAAACACACAACTACTTCTGTCTTACTGAATATTCATGAAATTAAAATCCAGCATTTTAAACATTCCAGCTGAAATGCTAACAGCAATATGTATATATTTTGCATTGTGTCTGTGCAATCCACAGCACACACTATGCTCACACGCACATACATGCGTGCACACACACAAACCATAATTAAACAATTAATGACTATATGTTCTGCAGTCATTTACATGAAGTGTCCAGAACAGGCAGACTTGGGAAGACCCACGGAGCAGGAGCAGGGACAAGTGGAGGGACTGAGGCTGACAGCAAACAGCTACAGGACTTCTTTATAGAGTAATGAAAAAAGATCTCCTGCTGACAACCTGTGAATCCAGTAAAAGCCTATCAAACGCCCACTCTAAGTGGGTGCACTCAATATAATCACTGCTGAAAAGCAACCGTGAAGCAACTGTGGGGGGGGGGCTTGGCCGTGGCCAATGTCATTCTCACAGCAGGGTTCACACCTCAACTTTAATTACTGTTACGTGCTTCTGTAATGTATCATAAATCCCACGGCTGCTCACCTTGGATAAAGGAGAGGTCTGTGGCGAGCTGGTGTCCTCACCTTCTCCGGGACTTAATCCCACCATGGCACTAGTCCTTGGAGTGGGCCGTGAACTGGAAAACACAACAGCTTTCCATCACGGGCTGCAGAAACGATAACCTCCACTCCTCTCCTGGCAGGAAGGGTGGCGTGAAGGGCTCCACACCTCTTGCACAGGAACTCAGCACATAAAAAGCCTGAAGCCTAACTTGTGCTTAATGACTCTATAATTTTTGTAGCTGCTTCTTTTAAGAAGTGTCATTAAGTGGGAATACACATGCCACTCACTCGTGTGGAGGTCTGAGGACAATTCTGTGCTCTGCTCTGGTATCTCCTCCCCAACTCAGGTCTCCAGCTGTGTGGCAAACACTTTCACCTGCTGAGCCCCTTACCTTCCCCTCCCTGTAACTGCTCGGCTCGGCTCTGCTGGTAACTTTCTGGATAGCCAGCTACTCATTTCCAGATTGCATGCTGCATACAATGCAATCTTTTCTTTTTGCACTTTTGCTGCATGCTTAGTGCTTCCCAAGCATCTGTTCATCACACTGCATAATGACTTTCACGGGAACATTGCATGCGTGTGCACGTCTGTCCCTCCCTCGTCGGCCACCACACTCCCCTTCACATTTTGAGAAAGCCTCCGCTCCATCAGAGTCCGCTTACATAGCATAACCTCCTGCAAATCCCAGGGGATCACGTCTCCTCCACCTCCTGCTCACTCATTCACTAAGTGAGTTTTTAACATAAAATACCAGACGTTGTAAAGACCTGGTTCTAAGAGCATCGACTAAAATTGCCTAAACTATAAATAAATAAATGTATCATACTTCATACTCAAATAAGCACAAAACAGATCAACAAATGTGAATGCATTATTATAGATTAAATGAAATAAAACTCCTGTATAAGACTGTCTTTTCCTTTAAATGTACTGAGGATTGAACCTCAGACTTTGTGTATTATAAGAAAGTGCTCTACCAGAAAGACAGAGACCTGCACACCCAGAAAATCTTAAATCTATTGAATTCATTGGCCCCTAATTACTTAAAAACAAACTAGGTTGGTTGTAGCTGTTGTCTTTCAGTGGCTATAAATATTGTTTGTGTCTTGTGTAAAATATATCTCAAGAACACAACACACAGGCCATGGTGTCACTCACTAGGAGAGCTTCTGCTTAGCATGTGTGACACCCGGCATGGATGGAAGAAAGGCAAAGGGAAGAGAGGACGGGAGGGAAGGAGAGAAGAAGGAGGGGACTCAGACAAGGGAGAAGTACAGCCTCTCCTTTCTATAAAACCTTACCCAAATAAGGGGGCTGGACTTTTGAAATTTCAAATTCATTTTCATCAGAAGACAAAGTTCCGAGAGAAAAGATTTTAATATTTACAAATACAAAATAAAATAAGCCGTTTTTTAAAACTGTATGTACATGTTTGTCTATGCACATGGGTGCAGTACCCAAGGAGGCCAGAGGAGGGCATCTGATCCCCTGGAGCTGGAGTTATAGATGGTTGTGAGCTGCCCAACCTGAGCCCTGGAAACTGAAGAGCATCAAGCACTCTTAACTACTGATCCATCTCTCCAGACCCCAAATAAACAATTTTTAAAACACATACAAAACCTAGATTCCACTGGGCAGCAGTTCACAGTGGAGTGCAGGGGCATGTGATACAAACACCATCCTCTATCTCTAACCGTCTCCCCCAGAGCAGCACTTGTCTCTAGGCTCGCTCTTCTCACAGCAGGGTTTTACATACCTGAGGAGAAATATGGATTCATTCAGCTGGCCCCCTTTGGTACTCTTGGGCCTCAGCTCAGTCGGGGTGTCTGTGGTAGAAAAGTAATATGTTATCCAGAAGGTACGGAAATCACCATGAACAGAGCGTAACACACGGAGACGTGAAAAAGAAGCAGATGCACAGGACAGGGCTCCGCATGCATGGGCCACGGCCCACGGCCCACGGCCCACGAGCTGTTCAAACCAAGCCTTACCTAGCCGGAAAGACTGGCTGAGTCGGTGAGCTCCCTTCTGCCCTTTCCCTTGTCCATTCTGAGGGCTCTGCAAAAACTCCCTGGAATCATTCGGTCCAGAACATTCCATGACATTTCTGCTGCTTGACAGAAATCAAGACAAACTCAATTCAAACTCCCTGTGGTTTGGCAAATAGCACGGAAGGTGTCAGGGCATAATTGCACCTTGTGTCTTATCCTACAATGTCACAGAACTGGGCAAGGACAGCTTTCTACCAGGCAGCTACAATGAGCCCTTTCTAGATGTGAGGCATCTAGACCTAGAGATCTAAAAACCCTTTAGCAGACAGACAGGCAGACAGACAGACACCAGAGCCTGGAGTACCACAAGAACCAGCATGAGTTTTCCCTTCCTGCTACTTGTCCTGGGGTCAAAGTCAACAAGCCATGGAAACTAACTGCAAGAGAAGCCATGGAAACCAACTGCAAGAGAAGCCAGAGAAACCAACTGCAAGAGAAGCCAGAGAAACCAACTGCAAGAGAAGCCACGGAAACTCACTACAAGAGAAGCCACGGAAACTCACTGCAAGAGAAGCCACGGAAACTCACTGCAAGAGAAGCCACGGAAACTCACTGCAAGAGAAGCCACGGAAACTCACTGCAAGAGAAGCCACGGAAACTCACTGCAAGAGAAGCCACGGAAACTCACTGCAAGAGAAGCCACGGAAACTCACTGCAAGAGAAGCCACGGAAACTCACTGCAAGAGAAGCCACGGAAACTCACTGCAAGAGAAGCCACGGAAACTCACTGCAAGAGAAGCCACGGAAACAAACACACAGAGAAGCCACGGAAACCAACTGCAAGAGAAGCCACGGAAACCAACTGCAAGCCACATCCCCCACTTCCCCTCCCCATCTCTCCCTGCACTTCCACCATTCCAAAGGCATCCAGCAAGACACACAAACCGTCACACATCCCGAGGGGTCAAAATATCAGGTTGGCTCCGTGTTTAAAGACCAGCTACCCTAGTCTCTCATGGTAACTGCAGGGCAGGACAGTGTGACCATCCCATCCCACTTGGCGTTCTCTCAGATTGAAAGATGGTGGCTCCACAAGCCCCAGCCTGCATCGTCAAACCAAACAAGCAAAGACTGAGTGTTTTCAGCCCAAAACCCAAGGAAGGAGGTCAGCTTCCACCACTGCTAACACATGTGTGCCACCGGAGCAGTACCTCAGAAAAACAAACATGACACACAGATGGAAAAGGGAGACATGCCACCATGCAGCAGCAAATGGGAACACTGTCATTTCTTCCTTAGTTACAATATAGGCAATTATCAATAGAGAAGTCTTTAGTCACGATCAACAGCCTTTTATGACCTTTTAGGTAAGTGTGTGTGTATGTGTGTGGTGTGTGTGTGTGGTGTGTGTGTGTGTGTGAGTGTGTGTGTGTGGTGTGTGGTGTGTGTGGTGTGTGTGTGGTGTGTGTGAGTGTGTTGTGTGTGTGTGGTGTGTGAGTGTGTGTGTGTGGTGTGTGTGTGTAGTGTGTGTGTGTGTGTTGTGTGTGTGTGGTGTGTGAGTGTGTGTGTGTGGTGTGTGTGTGTAGTGTGTGTGTGTGTGTTGTGTGTGTGTGTGCGCACGCATGTGTGGGGGGGGCGCAGGGGAGAGGAGGAGGGGTGGGGCAGGAAGAGAGAGAGGTAGAGAGAACACCCCTGCTATGCTGTCCTACCACAGTGGTAGGGTATAAATACTGACAACACACACACACCACACACACCACACACACCACACACACCCCACACACCACACACACACACATACACACCACACCACACACTCACACACACACACAACACACACACAACACACACACCACACACTCACACACACACACATCACACACACAGACCACACACACACACACACCACACAAACACCACACACCAGCAACACACACACCACACACACACCACACACACACTCACACACTCACACACACACCACACACCACACACACACCACACACACACTCACACACTCACACACACACCACACACCACACACACACCACACACACGCACTTGTGTGCGCGCACACACACACACACACACACACACACACACACACACACACACACACACACACACACTTTGGAGATGAAGAACTAAAGGTCAGAGGTGCCCTGGCTTGTTGACACCAACAGGCAAGGCCGGGAGTCCAATTGGCTGAAACCACCTCGTTTTCTCTAAGTGATGCTGACAGAAGGTGGAGCTGGCTCCATGCTGAGAATGAGGCTGCAGCACACTGGGCCACAGACACTCACGACCCGCAAACTCCAGCTTCTCTATACAGCACTCAGCAGTCACTAGTGAGCAAACGAGGGGGTGGGTTTCACCAGCCGACACCACCACTGGGCCCAGTGTCTGACCCTGAGAGACTTCACAATAGCACTGCAGGGCCTGGGCAGGGCACACAGGTGACTGTGCTCACACATGTCCACCACATCCTCAGGGCTTTGAGTCTCCCAACTTGAGGTAACTTGGGCACACAGCCAGGCTGGCAGGAAAGCCAAGTTCATCACAGTCCCTCGACACCCAAGCCAGCAACGACTCCATTCTGACAGTTCCCTTCCCCACCACCCGACCGTGAGGGGAATAAATGCCAGCGAGTTGCACAGTGGTTCCACGGTTTCCACACGGCAGTAGCATGTCACTTCTACCCAAGCTTCATGAGCACACCCGCTGACTGACACGCTGCCTTGTGCTCAGAAGGCAGGCACCAGGTGTGCTGACCAACCAGGTGTGACTGCCACACTAGACCCCTGACTGGATAAAAAAAAAACCCTCCAGTCAGTGGTGGCACACCCCTTTAGTCCCAGCACTCTGGAGGCAGAGGCAGGAGGATCTCTGTGAGTTCAAGACCAGCCTGGTCTACAAGAGCTAGTTCCAGGACAGCCTCCAAAGCCACAGAGAAACCCTGTCTCGAAAACAAGAAACAAAAAACAAAACAGAAAATGAACAAAATGAGACTGAAGCATCACGACTAAATCTGCCCTGATGAACCCTTAATTACGCAAACACTAGGTACCATCAGCCAGAGGGCAGAGTGGGAGCCAAGGCTGGAGCACTGGGCCTGAGTGGCCCTGAGGCAGGGCCCACTACCTGAAGCTGCAGTCCTCAGAGGCCAGGTCCAAGTCTTCTCTCCGCAGGGAGTCCTTCCAGAAGGAGTGCTGCAGGACGCCGTCCCACGATAACCTTTAGGAGACACAGGGGCACAGCTCCATCAGGGGACTCCAGACCTGACTGAAGCGTGGCATCAGATCCCACCACCCACCAATGTCACCTCTGGAGCTGCTCTATGTCACTCTCTGTGACATTTATCTCCCTTAGCAAAAGGAAAGAAGGCAGAAACCTTAACAGCTATAGAACAAAACTAAGAATTTGGAGTTTCAAGTTCACAGCCCTCACAATCCACTCAGCCTAACAAAAATGTCCTTGGGTTTTCTAACTAAAGTAGGAAGGGACTCTACCGGCAATTTGAAATTTTAAAGTAAATCATTATCAAATCATTATCAAATTACAGTCCTGTCCCCCTTCATCTTACTAATGAGCAAGACTGTTTCAGACGGCGGTGTGGCTGGAATGTGAGTTGTCCCCCTGAAGTCCATGTGTGTCCATTCGCCTCCTGCTGGTGTGTGCACACTCATCCCCTGCTGGTGTGTGCACACTCGTCCCCTGCTGGTGTGTGCACACTCATCCCCTGCTGGTGTGTGCACACTCATTCCTGATGGTGTGTGCACACTCATCCCTGCTGGTTGTGCACACTCATCCCCTGCTGGTGTGTGCACGCTCATTCCTGGCTGGTGGTTGTTCAGGGAGGCTCTGGAGCCTTCAGGAGGAGGGGCCTAGCTGGGAGGAATTGGGCCATGGAGATTGGTGGACAGACCTAGACATTTCGTAACCTGGCTCCACTCCGTGTCTGTCCTCTGCTCCCTGACTGGGGACACAATGTGACCAGCTGCCTCGTGCTCTGGCTGCTGTCCCCACCCCACCATTAAAGTCTCTGTCCCTTCTTCAATGTGAGCCCAAAGCAACCTGTCTCCTTTACTTGCTCTCCCAGGCTTCAGTCACTGTGGCAAGAAGCCTCCCAATGGAACTGAGCCCACTACTGTCCAAGTGTGCACACTGCACCAAGGGAGCTGAGCCCACTACTGTCCAAGTGTGCACGCTGCACCAAGGGAGCTGAGCCACACTACTGTCCAATGTGCACGCTGCACCAAGGGAGCTGAGCCCACTACTGTCCAGGTGTGCACGCTGCACCAAGGGAGCTGAGCCCACTACTGTCCAGGTGTGCACGCTGCACCAAGGGAGCTGAGCCCACTACTGTCCAGGTGTGCACGCTACACTAAGGGAGCTGAGCTCAGCGGAAGGACACTCTTCCAACATCCAGAGTTTATGGGAAGGAGAAAGGCGACTGAGGAGAAGGGAGTGGAGGCAGAGGAACAGGAGGTAGGGGAGGGGGGGTGCAGGTGGAGGGGGGGTGCAGGTGGTGTTGATGTGTGATCTGAGCTTTGCACCCGCGTAAAGGAAAGCTGGTCTCCGCCCCTCGCACACACAACACTGTGGTACCTTTTCTGAGGGTCCTTCTGCAGCAACCCATGCAGCAAATCGATGAAGTCTGAGGACGCTTTGGGGAATGCAGAATCTGTGAACAAATGATTGAGAGAAGCCCATAAACATTGTGTTGCTGTCATCAGCAATGTCTAAAGCAACAGGACTTCAGCCTGCAGACTGTTTAGCAGACAGCACAGCGGTCAAGTCACAGCGAACGGATGTGCAGAGCAGAGACAAACCTTTAACGGGATCTCACATATGCGCATCTCCAAGACCACATTCCCTTCCCTGAACTGATGGCACTGAGGGTGGCCAGAGAGAGCCTCTCAGCCGGTGGTTACCCGTACCTGACTCTGAAGCTTTGCCCTTTAATCCACCATGACTCTGATCCTGGAAACCCCTCCTTCCTTTGGAAATTGTTTAACAGGGAAATAATGAGCACTGTGACACTCCTGATGGGTATGCAGTCTGTGGCTGGAGGAAGTGGCCAGCACAGCGTGACCTAGCAAACATCTGGCTACCCTACAGAACACTGGGCACCATGGCCACAGTCCAAGGACAAGCTCATTGCCATGAGCCACCAGCCGTTCCTGAGTATTTGGATTTACCAATAGGAGAACTGAGAAATGCCCCATTTCTTCCTACTAAGAAGCAACCCTAAAATAATCACACAGGGCAGTAACACACACAAACACACACACACACACACACACACACACACACACACACACACACACACACACACACCACACACAACCTTCGGATCTTTAAACAGACTTCTTGTGTTAATTCGTGCTTTTAAATGAGGGAATCTGTTAGTATGTCTTGGTTTTCACTTTCTCCATGGAAAATAGAGAAGAAAAGTGTACTCATTGAAGCTGCTGTCACACATAGCTTTGGTGGCTATGATTGGTAAAAACAGCCTGGGTACAGACTGGCTGTGCTCACCTACCCTTCGGGACCGGCGGCAACGGGTCTTCATATAGAATCTTCTCAACCAATTCTGACACGGTTTCGGAGAAGAACGGGGCTTTACCTGAAATCACATGAGCTTACACCATCAGTTTGCCATCCGCACTACTATTCTGGGGGAATTTACATCATTGTAACACAAGATTCACATGGCTCATGGGGGAAAGGCAATGCCTGACTAGAGTACACAAGGCCATGTATTTTCATCCTCCTCAAATACAAATTTAACTTTCCAAGTCTATACCCAAGTTCATGCAGGGTCTAGCATCAAGCAATTAAATTAAAACTGTTTACACAGAAATTGTCTAAAATCAGTTTTGTGATACCTGCTAGGTCAGGCCCTGGCAAACAACACACTAAGCTCATAGTTGGTCCTGGGTTTTAGTTTTGATTTTATGATGAACCAAACACAAACCTGAGAACATCTCATAAAGCAGACAGCCCAAAGACCAGAGGTCGCTGGTGACAGAAAAGTCAGTTCCCTTCACGATTTCCGGTGCTGAATATATCAGGGAGCCTGAAAACCAAAGCCAAGAACAGCTGAATCATGCCCAGTACTTACGACACTGACATGGAAAGATGCCATGCTACAGGGACATGGGGCGTGGACCATAGAGACAGAATGGCTGGGAGTCCATGAGATAGCTCAGCGGCAAGTGGTACCCGACACCAAGACTGACAGCCTGAGTTCAATCCCCCAGATCCACTCAACGAAGAGACTCCTTCACGTTGCCCTCTGACCTCCATTCACTGTGGCACAGACATGCCCACGCAGCCACCCTCAGTGTGTGTGTGTGTGTGTGTGTGTGTGTGTGTGTGTGTGTGTGGTATGTGGGTGTGTGTATGTAGGTACATGTGCATTGAAAGCAGGGAGAAGCTAGACGCTGCTGACTCGGCGTGACCGCTCTGCATTTGGTGACCTCCTCAGTCACTCTCCTCCTCAGTTTTGAGACAGGGTTCCTCACTGAACCTGGAAGTCATTGGTTTGACGAAACTGTCTGCCCAGCCAGCGCCAGGGATCCTCCTGTCTCCCTCTCCTGTACTGGGATTACAGATGTGGGCAGCCACACCTGGTTCTCTTTACATGGGTCTTAGGGGACCAAACTCAGGTCCTCCTGATTATACAGCCAGCACTTTACTCCCTGAGCCACCCCAGCCATAAGCACCTGCCAAGAACACACCCCAGGAGATTTACCTGGGCTGCACACTGAAGGGGCCCTGGTGTGTGCCAGGCATGTTCTGAGAGCTGACTGAGCTGGCCCTGCTCTGGTGGGTGGTGCCAAGATGCCCACATTGACCAAGACCTCTCCTGCTGACACACCATCAGAGCCGCAAGGACACTCCAAGCCAACGATGAAGCTACTCTATGTCCAGAACCCCCTTGTCATGTTTCTCAACAGCGTGTGAGTGGCGAAGCAGAAAGACAAAGCCATCTCCTAAGCGCGTGGCTCGGGCTGTGGCTCGGGCTGGGGCTCCGGGGGGGGCCCGGCCCCCCCCCCC